TAACACTTTATCATTGCTAGAGATAAGCAGCTGACTGTTCTAATTAATTCAAAGAATAATGAGATGGGGTACAAGATAATGTGCTTTATTATCTTTATTATCCTTGCTAGTGGCTAAATATTGAACTAGGCTGCTGCAGAAATAGGTTTCTATAATTTTAACACATATAAATGTCATTTCTCTATTTCTGGTGTTGTACAATTTAACAACCCACATTAATAGAATTAGTTCTTTGCTAGTCTAAGCATGAGGATTATAGATGGGGTGTGCAATGAATGTGGCCCACATAGATTTTTTTTCTTGGATTTTGATTTTTGGATGAATCTAAATTTCATTTATAAATATCTAACTTCGTTTAAAGAAAAGAGAAGGGAGAACTGCCATGGGTACAGGGTCAAATGTAAAGAGACTATTCAAAAGAAATAAAAGCCTATAAAGCCCGAAATGGTTCTAGCCCAGTTTTCCTGCTGAACAGGAAACAGTTTCCCTCTATGATCCACCTCGGATATTATGATCTTCTGGGGAGGCCCTGCTCTTGGTCCCACCCCCTTCACAGGTGCAATTGGTGGAGACAAGGGACAGGGCCTTCTCAGTGGTGGCCCCTTGGTTATAGAAATCCCCCCCTAGTGAAATTAGAACAGACCCCTCCCTCCTGACCTTCAAGAAGAAAGTAAAAATGTGGTTATGGGGCCAAGCTTTTGGATAACAAGTGTTTTAGTGCAACAAGAAAACAATTAGTAGTTGAATGACAAATTGAACAGCCTTGGATTATGATTTTGGATGGTGTGATTTTAATTATTGGTTTACAACTGTGTTGTTTTAATGTTTTTGATTTTAATGTAACTACATTTTATTGTATGTTTATTTATGGCATCAAATTGCTGCCTATTTTGTAAGGTCGCTCTGAACTCCCTTTGGGATGAGAAGGTCAGGATATAAATGAAGTAAATAAATAATAAATTGCCCAGTATCACTGTTTTCCCAAAGAAGGAGCAGAAAGAACACTTAACCTCATAGTTGCCTAAGAAGAAGCAACTATACAGCTAGCCAATATACAGTGATTGGACTATTAGACCAACACTCTAGCGGTTATAATCTGCATTCTGAAACTGCATTTTATATAGTGTGCTTTAAGTTCAGTCATAGAAGAAAGGCAAACATAAATGTAATTTTAACTCCAAAAAGCCACACAAATGAACATAAATGAACTCTCATTAAGCTTATTGATCTTCAGGGTGCCAACACAACCATTTTGCTCCCAGTTTAGGCCACTTCCATGATTAGAATTGAGAGAAAGTTGTCAGAGCCACAGACCCTTTGATCATTGCGTTAGAGTGTATAGACTTCAGGCAGACTTCAGGCTGCATATGTGTTCTTTTTTTTCTTTTCTTTTTTAGAACACTGATGCTTATCAACCACAGCCAGACACAAAGGGGTGGTTCAGGGAATAGTTTTATTACCTACAGGTAATCGAGAAGGAACAAAAGAAGCAAACACCTACAAAAACACAAGCAATGGTCTTAAAGGTCTTACAGAAGCAAGCCGCAATCCAGACTCATTAAACAACAACAAAAAGAGAGGGCGGAAAACAGAGAAGGGCGGGTATGATCAGGAACTGTGACCAAGAGAAAACAAGATGTTCACATATTGACTTGAAAATTATCCAATTTTTTGTTGTGAGCTTCTTGTGTGTATGTTTACTTTATAGACACAAGCAGCACTTCTATTGCACTTCCATAGCATGTTTTGTTAATTTATTTCAAACAAGGAGCTATTTTGGATTTTACGCATGATGTCAGGTGCTAGGAGCAGAGTAGTTAATAGTATGCTTTAACTTTCAAAGGAGGATTGTCCTTCCCCTTCAAGCCTGGCACATACAACTGATACTTATCACTAGGAAGTATAAACATCTAGTTCTAGCAGCACTTGTACTAATTTGAAACATATACTGTGCTTAAAATATATTTCGGCAAGATTCAGCAGAATTCTTTTCCTAGCATAATGACTTCTGCCAGCTTTTTGTGTCGAAAGCATTGCATAAATAAGTATAAAACTGTTAAAATAGAGGAAGCACAAGTGGCTAAATAATATTAGACCAAAAACGGGCAACAGCAACCACATTGTCGGTAGCTTTAAATAGTTCTTCCTCTGTGCATGAGGCAGGGCATTGTGGACAAGCATACATCTGGTGAGTTGTTTGTTCTGCTCCACAGTCACACAAGGTGGAGGATTCTTCTGCTAGTGCCATTTTGCCAGGTTTTCTTTTGATCAGCCCAGTCCACTTCTGAGTCTGTTCAGGGACTTCCAAGTTGCCCATTCTTGGTTTGCCCCTTGAGAAAGACCCTCATGGGGGCCATCCAGTTGGGATTTCCTGGTTTAGCTGCCCAGAGGGATACTCTTGTTGTTGCTGGGGAAACATTAAGAGGAGTGGTGGTTTTCCTTGAATTGAGGCTACTGGGAGGGGGCTGACAGCCATGCAGTGGATGGCTTTCACAGTGTTCAACCTTATTTCTCTCATAGTTGGCAGCAACTTCCCATCGCAAATCGGGAGGGGATGGGGCAATGCCAGCTAGCTTTCCCCAGTTCAGCTTCTGTCAGCTGAACTGGGGAAAGGCAATTTCCCCTTCCAACCATGCCTTCAAAGCCCGCTACAGAGGAACAGGGATGTCTTAAATGTTCTCAATCTATAAATTTGGTGGCCAGACAATGCAACCTTGTTCCATGACCAAAGTAGCCCCACCAAGACTGTTTGCATAGTATTTAATATAGTCTCTTTATATAGCAAGAATGAAGAATAGTCTGTCCCTCCATGTATTGCCTGACTGCATCATCTTGCCCTGATGACTACAAAATATTCGAGTCAATTTTCTTCTCTATAATACAAAAATGACAGGAAACTGGGACAGAACTGCAGTCAATTTCTAATAAATAAGTTCCTGGCAAAATTAAAAAAAAATCTGCTATAAGCCTGTAAAGGTCACTGAATGGTTCTGACACAGTGGGGTAAATCTTTTGCAAGTTTCCTTCTGTTATTACTACTGGAAGGATTGATACTGGCCTACAAATACTCTCCCTGTGTGTGAGGGAAAACACTTCTCTCTCTTTTGAGTCATGAATCTTTCCTGCAGTCTTTCATAGATAAAGAAGTACAGGCAAGCTAATCCCTACATTAATGCTAACTAAGGAAGGCAGCAAGTGTGAAAACCTGGAAAGAAGCCCTCCCAACTAGCATTGCCAAATGCGTTTCAAGGTAAGAGTTCTGTAACTTCTATGCTTAACAGATTTTCAAACAGGAAAAGGCACCATAAAGCTTCTCCAAGCAAGGCACATGTGTCTGTCCTTCATCGCCTTTGAAACACCAACATTTAGTTGTACCTGTCCATTCTCAACATGATACTGTCCTCAATTGCTTCCCATAACAAGAATAGAGGTGTGTGCTTCTTTGTGCCTCTCCTCCCTCCTTTTCCACTAGGAAGGCAATATGGGTGTTGGGAGGGGATGACTGAGGCTGAAAGTTGGAGTCTGGAAGATGAAGAAATGTGTGCCTCATTCTGATGGAAGATCAGTTAAGCATTAAAGTTGTAGCACCCCCATCCAGGATCCAGTCTAGTAATGTTATTTCCACCCCATCCCAGTTTTTCTTGCCCTTCTATTCCTTGAAATGTTTGTCTGCCTGTGAAAATGTGTAATTAGTTCCTTCTTCCTTGAACTTAGAGGACAAGGCAATCTCACATGTGGTAAGGGACAAGCTTCCTTTCATTGCTATTTTTAAAGAGATAAAATGTAGCTCTAACTTAAACATAGCACAGAACAAATAAGAGCCATTTATCATTTCATTTTTCAGTATGTTTACATACAGTTTGCCTTGAGTTAGCCAGTGCCTTGATCTAAGAGATTATTTTTTCTAACAGAAAACCCAACAGGCAGTTATTGACTGAGAATAAGGCTGTTTATTATAGTATAACATGATATGCTCCTTTACCTTATCTCTGATCACTTACACCATCAATAAATGATCAAATAGAAATTTCTTCCCATTCAAGAAGAATGGCTAGCAAGTAAAACAAATTCACACTGCACTCCTGAATAAATGACAAACCAGTGAAAATTCAGAGGGCGTTGCAAATTCAGTGCTTAATAGCAAGGAAGTAGCAGCAACTGCACATCCCAGAAAATGTTTCACGAAACAAGTATCTAGTGCAGGGGTCCTCAAACTTTTTAAACAGAGGGCCAGGTCACAGTCCCTCAAACTGTTGGAAGGGCCGGATTATAATTTGAAAAAAAAATGAATTAATTCCTATGCAGACTGCACATATCTTAACTGTAGTGCAAAAAACACTTAAAAACAATACAATAATTAAAATGAAGAACAATTTTAACAAATATAAACTTATTAGTATTTCAATGGAAAGTGTGGGCCTGCTTTTAGCTGATGAGATAGGATTGTAGTTGTTGTTGTGTGCTTTCAAGTTGTTTCAGACTTAGTTTGACCCTGAGCGAGGGCTGGGTAAATGTCCTTGGAGGGCCATATCTGGCCCCCGGGTCTTAGTTTGAGGACCCCTGGTCTAGTGAGATAGATAAACATAGATGCAAGCAGTCCCCAAGTTAAGAACAAGATAAGTTCTGCAGGTTTGTTATTGAACTTGTAAATAAGTTGGAGCAGGTACATTTTGAAGTGTAACTGGATAGCATGGGAAAGGGTTAATGCCACCATGGTGTTTGCTGTGCTGTCTGTGCTCCTGTTCAGAAGATTTCAGCTCACTTTCTGACCCTGTGACAATTGGATTTTTAACATTTTGGCTTGTTTTGGAAACAAGAATTGATGATAAAGCTTCAGTAGAGACATCTTTTCCTCAGGATAACTCTTTAAGAAATGTATATCCTTTCCTACACATAGATTTGTCTCACTTCATGTTGTCTCACTTCTGTTCTTAACTATGAGTTGTTTGCAAGTTGGAATTTCCTATATAGTTCTCAAATAAAGCCCAACAAATTCTTACCTCTGTCTCTGAACAACGGGAATGTTCTGATTTACCTGAAATAAAAAAAAATATCTTTACTCGGGGAGTCAAAAACAAGATTAGAAAACTCATTCTAATGTATGAATTTCCTACATATACACAAGAAACATGTAGACTATTTCAAGCTACATAATAACATTTGGAAAGGATTCTCCTAAATCAGCATTTCTCAACCTGGGGGTCGGGACACCTGGGGGGGGGTCACGAGGGGGTGTCAGAGGGGTCACCAAAGACCATCCAAATACACAATACTTTCTGTTGGTCATGTGAGTTCTGTGTGGGAAGTTTGGCCCAATTCTATCATTGGTGAGGTTAAGAATGCTCTTTTTGTAGATGAACTATAAATCCCAGCAACTACGCCTACCAAATGTTCAAGGTCTATTTTTCCCAAACTCAACCAGTGTTCACATTTGGGCATATTGAGAATTTGTGCCAAGTTTGGTCCGGATCCATCATTGTTTGAGTCCARAGTGCTCTCTGGATGTAGGTGAACTACAACTCCAAAAACTCAAGGTCAATGCCCACCAAACCCTTCCAGCATTTTCTGTTGTTAATGYGAGTTCTATGTGGTTCAGTTTCATCATTGGTGGAATGCAGAATGCTCTTTGATTGTAGATGAACTATAAATCCCAGCAACTAAGCCTACCAAATGTTCAAGGTCTATTTTTCCCAAACTCAACCAGTGTTCACATTTGGGCATATTGAGTATTTGTGCCAAGTTTGGGCCAGATCCAACATTGTTTGGGTTCACAGTTCTCTCTCGATGTAGCTGAACTGCAACTCCGAAACTCAAAGTCAATGCCCACCAAATCCTTCCAGTATTTTTTGTTGGTCATGGGAGTTCTGTGTGCCAAGCTTGGTTCCGTTCCATCGTTGGTGGAGTTCAGAATGTTCTTGGATTGTAGGTTTACTATAAATCCCAGCAACTACAACTCCCAAATGACAAAATTAATCCCCTCCCAACCCCACCAGTATTCAAATTTGGGCATATTGGGTATTTGTGCCAAACTTAATTCAGTGAATGAAAATACATCCTGCATATCAGATTTTTAAACTGCAATTCATAACAATAGCAAAATGACAGTTGTGAAGTAGCAACTAAAATAATTTTATGGTTGGGGATCACCACAACATGAGAAACTGTATTAAGGGGCCGCGACATTAAGGAAGGTTGAGAACCACTGACCTAAATGCTGCTTTCTATATATGTGTGTGTATAAAGATGTGCAGATGGATGTATACATGATTGCGTACGCAGACAAACACTCTAAAGGTCAACAGCCAAAGACATGTCTGAACATGGAGCATGACTCCTTGAACCCAACACACTTTATCAGAGATTCAGGATATCTGCATGCCCATCCCCCTCCAAACACCCCACCTTGTCATGCCCAGCACTTTTAATTTTAATTGTTACAATTGGCCCGGCCATTTTTTTTAATTGCGTCATTGGGTGTTGTTAATTGTTATTGCTTTGTTTTTTGAGTTATTGTGTTGTTGCTGCTGCTGCTGTTTTATTGTTGTATTTGGGCTCGGCCTCTTGTAAGCCGCACCGAGTCCTTCGGGAGATGGTAGTGAGGTACAAATAAAGGTTTATTATTATTATTATTATTATTATTATTATTATTATTATTATTATTATTATTATCCCACATCTTTGGACTTTCCAGTATAGTACACTCAGTGGCAGTGATATTTTAGTACAAATGTCTATGACTGGATCTGAATAGTTGTGTAGCTGTTTTGGACAGAAGAATGAGGCAGGTAAGAGCAAGTATTTCCAACACATAATTTCAAAGCAAAGGGTTTGCAGCTCATGGGCTACACCTGTCAGCAGGACAAAAAGGACTGTAGTAAACCCACAGGGTGTTGCAGCTCAAAAATGTCTTCTTTTCCAAATTCTCTTATTTCAATGCAGTTGAAATGTGAGTGAGAAAAAGAGCATTCTAATGCTTCCCCCCACCTGTTGCTACAAAGTTGAGATGGCATTCAATGTTGTATACACATCTGAAAAGAGAAAGAGCTGTCTTGTTTCTCACTTCCCAAAAAGCCAGCACAACACTTTATCTTCCCATCCCAAGGGATGGAAAAACTGGAGCAATACCAATCCTCTCCCTTCACACAGATGGCATCTGAAGTAAATTTAAAAATACTACCTCTGTTCCTCATGTAACTTGGGTAGAGTGACCATTTTGTATATCTGACACAGGCAACTTCTGTAGTCCATAGCTAGAGAAGCATGAGGCAATTGTTCTTGCCTTGGTTGTGTATGTATTCGACATTTCAAGGCTGTGGTCACAGATACCTTCCTATATGCATTTTTTAAAAGAATCTTGTATTGTATTTGTCATCCAGTGACATATGAAATACAGGGAATCTGCACTGAGTGGTTATAATACTTTGATACCACTTTGATTATAACCATGTCATTTTATAGAATCCTAGGATTTGTAGTTTGCTACGCAGGTCATGTCCACTCCCCTGATTTATAACAGAGGTAAGTACCTTACCAGTGATAAATCTCATGATTCTATGAGATCAAGCCATACACTTGTGTAGCATGGAAACATTCATAGTTAGGTTAGTCTATATCTAAAGAGCACTACTCTTTTTAGATTACGCATTTTAACAGCAACAGAGGCACTTGTCACTAATTTTCTGTTTCCTAGTATGGGATAATGGGTTTAACCTCGCTCAAAGAAACACTTTCATAATAGTATTTCCTGTTAGTGATCTATCAAGTCAGATAAGGCGAAAGAACAGGGTTATATTATCTGTTATATCATAAGAGTTGTTCAACAGTCAGAGTATGGTGGAAGCTCCTTCCTTGGAGGCTTTAAACAGAGGTTGGATGGCCCATGTGGTCTCTTCCAACTCTATGATTCTATGATTCATCTAGCCACATTTTCTGCTGACCATACATTTGTCCCAGATTTCCATTTCCGGTCCCTGTCTTTAGCTCAAAGCAGTCGAATACAATCTCAATTCTGTCTTTTCCTGTCAATCTAATTTCGCCTGTCACATGTGTAGACATCTTCTCCTTTCTATTTACTTATTTCATTATTTCATGCTTATGCAACTTTCATTCTAAGACATTCAAGCTGGCACACATAACTGATCCTTTTTTACTTTTTCAACAAACCTGTAACACATAAATCTCTCCCTTCTTTCACAGAATTATAAACACATATAAGTATCTCTCCCTACAGAAATATTTAGTTAAAAGGCAAAAGATTTACATAATTTTAAGAAAGATCAAGCTATCCTCTTTGCAACATCTTTTTGAGGTGGGTTAGTTTAAGAAATATTTGTCATAAAGTCAGCCAATAACTTTGTCATGGTCCAATATTCTAGCCACCCATTAAAATCATAGAAGCTTGCAGCATGGAAACTACTGTTTCTTCCTCTTTTTTTAGTGCATTCTAGCACCAACCAATTCTCAGTTCATAAGCCACTTTTGCCACCCAGTGCAAAGCACCTCTTGCCCAGTGCAAATGAACTGTTGAATATTTTATATAACAGCTCTTCATGGGCTGGGTAATACTGAGAGTACTAAAAGGATTGAGGAAGAATGAGAGACCTCATACACTTTGTCAGCTGCTGTTCTGAAAGGAGGAGGAAGTAAAAGCTACACCAACTTAAAATAACCAGGTGGATGGGGAGTCTCTTCAAGAAGGCACTATCTCCATATGGGCTGATTTTAGTAAGCCTATCTTTAAATTCACAAGTGGTGTATTCAAGAAGCACACTATTGTAAATTTCACTTATCAGGTTTGTCAATGTAGAATTCTAGACATGCGTCAATTTTTCTCACTTTCCAGGAAAAGATATTCTGTTTTTCTGAAGACTTGGCATTTGACTCACACAATTTATGACTCAATTTCAACAGAAGAACTCATAAAGAATGCACATGTAGAACACTCCCATCTTCCTTCCTCCTTCATACTCCCTTCTATGGTTAACTGGAAACAAACATTAATTGATTTCTAGTATCTTTTATATGTAAGCTATGAACAATGGCACCAACTGAAATCATAAGCACATTCACTTAGCAGAAGACTGCACTTTTAAATAACTAATGGATCTGAATTTAAATGTTAGGTATAGATCTAGAGAGGTCTTTCAGAAAGCTGCTATATTTTACTTTCAACACTAAGGTGTAGATAAAAAATCTTTAGTCAGCTGATGATTAAACACTCTTGAGTGGATTGCTCTATACCAGTGAATACCAAAGCAAGTAAGATATGTATTCTTTCCAAATATGTTGCAATATCCTTGATTACATTAAAGATCCATGAGAGTGGAAGGAATGGTCAACCTTCCAACATGGTAGAGGCTTAAAGAGAAAATGGAGCATGATCTCAATTATCTTATCAAACTGGGGTGAATGTAAACAAGCAAAATAATAAACAAATATTTTCTCAAATGTAAGGAGCAAAGCAACTGCAGATCAGCCAAGCTCAGTTTTCTGCCTACCTAGGAATTAACTACAAACTTGCTTAGGTAGAGCAGGCCCGAAGAGGATGCAAATGACACATGGTCCAAACAAGGCAAATGCAGGAGAATCTGGTGAAAGAAGGCTCTTGCTCTTGAACCCATGAACTCTAAATACACAGCACTCATCAGGCGCATTGATGATATTGAGGACAACACAAATGCAGCCTTCCAGCCATGATCATTGCATAAGAACATGATTAAGAAACTAGAACAATCAAATTATCATCTCCAAAGTAAAGTTGAAGACCTAAAAATGGGTGGCAGTGTCTCAATATTTACTTTGGGGGGGGGGGGTTCTAGAGCACTAGAAAAAAGAAGATATGCTAATGTTTATACTTACCTGGATGAATTAAACCTATCTCAAGCTGTGCCCGAAAAAAAATAAATATTGAGCAAGTAAACATATCCATCACCTTGAACTTGAACTCTACCCAGAGATACCACCCAAAGAAGATGCAAACTTTTAATAGATTTTCTGTTGTGCATGATTTAAACTACAAGAACTGCAAAATACGAG